GAATATGGAATAAAATAATATCCTCATAGATACTAAACTGACAGACAGATGCTGCATACTTTATTTTGTCTTTCTGGATTGATATGCTTAGACACTTAGGTCATTTAATTATTGTGTTGTTACTGTTTATCCTCAAGTTTGTGGATACTGTTCTGCAGAAAATTGAGAGTAATTCAGTTTGAGGTCTTAATAATTGTATTGCTGCAATAAATCATTTGTTGTTTTGCTCATCCTAGCTGAGCAATACAGGTGATATGAGTTCTTAACAGTGTTATTTTTCTTTGGGAATTTTTTTTTTTTTTAGTGTTTAGCATTTGGACATTTGGGATAAAGTGTATTCTATATTGTGGTAACAAGTTTTGTTTTACTTTCTATGGAGGTTCACAATTACAGCTCTTGCTAAAGGAAGCAGTATTTACTAGGGAACATGGAGAAGAGGAAATGTGCTGATGAGGTTTTTTTTCTCATTGCAGTCCTATTGCCTACAAATGACCATTGAAAACATGAACAATTCACGATTTATCCCACACAAAGACTACGCAGCTAATCGCTTAGTCAGCGGAGTATTGCAGCTTGCCAGCAACACCTCTCTTGTAGTAGATGAGACTCAGCTTGAGCAAGGACAGCTTGACACAACAGGTAGACATCTTTGTTTACAAAAATAAGGTTAAAAGTTGATATATTTTAAAACAGAAATGGTAATTGTGTCCCAGTGATAATTTTCTATTACAGAACTGTTTGTGGTTTCCATATCTTCTTTCATTGCTTGAACTAGCTTCCTGCTAGTCTACAGCCTTCTTGGACAACTTACAGCTTGATCTCCTGGGTTTTTCTCCCCTATTTTACTTTCTGGAAGTTTCTGGCGTTTTGCTCAGAAATGCTTGTATTGAGTCAAAATCTATCCTAGACCACAAACGACCAAAAATGAAACAAGCTGGTTCCATGTTTAGTATAGTTTTGTTTGCATTGTGGAGAACTCTGAATGGACAGTGTCTTTGACACCTGGTGGAAAAGGCCACTGATTTGAGTAAGTCTTTATACCAAAATACCTCTGATTCATTGGAATGGCCTTTTGGTTTTGTGATGATGAATGAAGAAGTAAGGGAAGAATACACTGCTGCTTTATGCTTTATACATTTACTGTATATATGGAAACCATCCCTGAAAACCCAACTAAAAACTGGAGATTAAAAAAAAAATAGCTATCACTGTGTGGAGCAGGATGATGATTCTATCTTGGAAGCTGATGTAGTGCTGTGTACTATGCTTTTTACAGAGCTTTTAGACAATTTAATTATAGCCTATGTAAAAGAGGTGAGTCGCAGTACCTGTTAAAAGTTCAGTAACTGGAGAATGCCTAGTATGGATATCTGTGGTGATTTCAAGGAAAGATGAATAGGAAATCACTGGAAATTACTTTATTTTAAAATAAAAATGCTATCTTGAGAAACCTGCCACACTGTGTGATGCTGTAAGCCTATTGGGTCTCCCTGATGAGTATCAGTCCTCTGCACTTAGGCTGGCAGAATTGGTGAGGTTCAGATTTCAGGTTGTTTCTAAATAGAAACATAATCTTTTTAGTTACTGCTATTAAAAGTTGTTTGAAATTATTAACTTGTTTTTGAGTCTTGTATTTTTTGTTACTCTGCTTTAGCAAAGTGACAACATTTCAGTAAAGAAAATAGTAAAACTAGTAGAAATCTTTGCATTAATCTGTTTAAAAAAAAGTCAAAACATTAAAACTCCGATTTACAGAAAAGTCTTAATGTGCTGACATATAGGTTTACTAAAATGCTTGTTCTTAATGTCCAAAACCCTCAACATTTAGTGAAAAGTAGTATTTTAAGTATTAAATGTTGCAGATAAAAAATGCTTGTTAGTTTTATTTCATTTCTGTTGGTGCCCTGTTGTTCTCTACTGAATTTAGAGTTAAAAATTAAGAATTTTTAATTTCTTGTAGCAATGTTGGGAACAAAATTTAATCTTAGAGAAGAGTAAGTATCTCCAGGTCTAACAGTTATTTTGGAACTCTTGGAAGTTACAGCTTAAAGATTTCAAAGGGGAAAATGTCACACAAGTAAACCATAATATTAAATTTGCCTTTATTTACAGCAGAGTAAAAGAATACTAATTCATTAAAGGCAAAATCGTAACAGTAGATGTGTCATTTGATGCAGTAGCACAGCCAAAGGGGAATTTGAATTGTCAGGTACATCTCGGTATTTCAGAGGGAGAATTCCTAGAGTTAACCAGTTAATTTGTCAGTCTTAATTTTCTAGATTTTAAGTAAATTAGTTCCAGGTAAGGCAAGTGACTTCTGTAACAATTTGGTAAAGCGAGGAGTATGTTTTTCAGTTGTTCTGGTCTTGCTAGCCCATCTAATATGTTCTTTATCCAGCAAGACTTACTTTCTTCCCCCTCAAACTGTTAAATTACACTTTCCAATAATTGATGGTGTTTTGTCCTCTCTTGAGAGATTTTTCCTGTGTAAATAGTTATCTGGCTTTGTAGGGCCAATGAAAACGTTAACTATTAACACATATAATAGCTATTAATACATATACTAGGACAGATAAAATTTAGGCTTGAAATCCTTCAAGAATTCTTAATTTTGGTGTTAAGAAATGGTTGCCTGTATATGGAAGGCATCACAGCCACAAGAAGAAACAGGATGCTTGCAAGAATTTTTCTACCTAGCTGCTCATTGAAAACAGATTGGGGAAAAAAAATCAGGTCTGACATTTGTTTAGGTCCAGTTGTCAGAGAATTTGTTCTTGCTTTTCTAGGTGTACATAATGTGACAGCACTGAGTAATCTGATAACTTGGCAGAAGGTGGATTATGACTTCAGCTACCACCAGATGGAATTCCCATGCAGTATTAATGTTCTTATCACTTCAGAGGGCCGATCACTCCTACCGGTATGGCAAAGTCTTCCTGAATTTGGGGAATAATCACAGTTGATAGCTACTTAGAGTATGCTGTTCTAGAGACAAGTGAAGACAGGAAAACTCTCTTGTGACTGGGGTGGGTGTGATGCTAGCATTATTAGTTCTTACTCATGGCTGCAGCCAGGTGAAGAACCTGTTCAAAGGAGAACCCAGAGATTGACCTTTCCCCCTCCTTGGCTGAAGGATATAATGATGGCAAGGCAGTGACAGAATTATTAAGAGAGATCGCCGTAATGGGTGAAGCCTGCAGCTCCACGGCTACTCTCCAAGCCTTATTCTGGTACAGCAGTTTCTGAGGGGAGGGGCACATGAATAAAAAGCAACAGGTCTGGCATTGAGCCTAGAAAAACTGAGTAGCCTAAGCTTAGAATTACCTGATCTCTTGCATTCCAGCTTTATGAGCTGAGTGTTTGTTCTCTTGCCTCTAAGTGAAACTGGCTCCTGCTTGAGTAAGGACTTCACACTGGTTTTCAAAAAGGGAACCATTAAATATTTAAAGAATGAATTGTCTTACCTCAATTCTGGGAAATAGTGACTTCTGTTGCTTTAGAGATTAAATTAGTTTTTGAATAGAAAAAAAAAACAACAGGATGTGGAAAGAGATGGTATGTAATTTTATTTTTCAGTCAGATTGCCAAGTCCACTTACAACCGCAGATAATTCCACCAAACATGGAAGAGTATATTAACAGCCTTCTAACAGCAGTGCTCCCTTCTGTGTTGAACAAATTTCGAATTTATCTAAGTTTATTGAGGCTGCTGGACTATAGTATATCTGATGAAGTGACCAAGGTATGGAAGACTTCCCTAATATGTTTTCAACTGTATATTCAGATAGAAAACCTTAATAGAAAGTTACTGTACTTTCCCATTGCTCTGCCAGTGATTCTCCTTGAAGTTTTCTACAAACCAGACAGAAGCATTTTCTTGTCCTGAAAGTGCCTTCAAGGATTTTACCCAAGTATTTTGGTATAGACTTTACGTGTACCCTGCTTTCTAAAACTCATTTTGAAAACTAATTCTTTTCAAAGATGAGAACTCGGGCTCGCTTCCTGACAATGAGTTGAAATGTTTCTCCTGTAACCTAAGGGTCTTTACAGTGTTTAGCTCCTCAAAAGCTTCTCTTGTAGCAAAGGTTCTTTTTTGCTGCTTAATTCCATGCTGTGTTGTTTATAGGCAGTAGAAGAGGACTTCGTAGAAATGCGCAAGAATGACCCTGAGAGCATAACGGCCGATGATCTGCACAGAACTCTGCTTGTAGCAAGGTGGGTAGCGCTGATTGTCATAACTGAGACTTTCTAGCAAGCTGGTAACAAATGAAATCAGTGCTCCCAGGCTGCAGTTGGGCCACAGTTGCATGAGGCTGGCTAGCAATCAAAAGACTGAATCACCTCTTCCTTTGTTCCTCTTGTCATAGATTCTTAGTTAGGCAAAGTATATCCTCCTCCCTTTCTTCCCCTGCTTTCTAGTTTGTAGGATACAGAAAGAAAACTGGGTTTGTACTGAATTAGTTTATCAAACCTGACACAAGAACAAGCTCTTCTTTAATTGCTGTTTCTGCTCATCTAGGTTCCTGTCTCTCAGTGCGGGGCAGACAACGCTGTCAAGAGAGAGGTGGCTGAGAGCAAAGCAACTGGAGGCATTACGTAAAGCCAGATTGCAGCAGCAAAAATGTGTTAATGGGAATGAACTTTAATATTTTGTGGATGTCGCTATGAAAATTTGTCTAATCCTAGATGGAACCCATACTAAGATTGGAATATTGTTTATACCAGTTTTTGTAGATAATTTATACCAAAAAGTTATGGATGTTTACCCTTGCAGTCTGAACACGCTTAACTCCGTTCAGCCAGTTAAACATATTTTATGAAATTTTTTTGGAGCCTGTTTTGTAATTGAAAATTGGTAACAATGAGCAAATTGTTTGATATTAAACTTTAATACTGAAGTTGTGTAAACTTACTTCCTTTAATAATAAGAAAATACAACCCAGAGCCCTTCCTGCACAGCAGTGGTAGGCTCTATTCTGGAATAAGCTTGTGATCTAATTCTTGAATGGCTGAATTTTGAGGATCAGAGGTTTCAGCAAACCAGAAGGTGCAGCTGAAAGAAACACTGGCTTCAGGATAGATACCTGTGTCCTGTTGTTGCCATGAGCAAAGGCCTGTTGAGCTTGTAGTGGCAGCATAGTAGTGATTACACTGTGGTAGAAAGAAGTGATTTGGTCTTATGCATGACGAGGTTCCAGTATGACATACGTTTTTATTGTACTTTGAGAAGACCTTGACTAACTTCTCAAGCCTCTCTAATGAGCTTTACATTGACTGCAGAATTGGTATTAAGTCATATACATACCAGTAATGCAGTGTGTTTTAAAGTGTTTGAATAATAGCAATTAAGCATTAAGAATGGTCTCTACATATCTCATTTATGCTGTATGGTTCTAGCTGGTTCTTGGAGGATGTACTGTCCCTAACAGGACTTGCAGAACTAGTTTAACAAGGCTGGTTTAAGTAGCAAAACATTAAACCAATATGGAGTCAGAGTAACCCAGACAGACTATGTCATATTATGTAGGGCTGCCCTCATACAGCCAGCCTACAGGAGTCACTGATGGAGCCAGTTCTAGATTTTGCTTCAATTCATCCTCTTCTGAACAAGAAAAAAAGGCTCTTACCAAATTTACATCAAGCTGACACCACCTTTACTTAGTGCTTTCTGATGACCGAGATTGTGTGAACAGGCCCACCCTTTTTTTTTACTGCATTTTTCCTAGTCTAAACATGACATTGTTTTTTGCTGCACAGCCACTCTGAACCTGTCCTTTTCATCTCTGCACACTAATAATGACTTTATTATGATAACTTTTGCATATCTTAAACTGGGCTCAAGTTTGATGCCCTTTCAAATCACTTGCAGCTTATTCTGTTTTTTTGAACACTAAAATGACTATTCATGGTTTCATCTGACTTGGTGCTATGTTAATGTGATGTTAAGCAACTGAACAAATGTAGGAAGAAAACTAAGACTCTCTTGAAAAGGCAGCCTGGCTGGAATGCAGCATTGGTTTGCAAGATTTTCTTTCAGTGCTGCTTAGAGGATGGGTTTATGCACATTGCTACAGACTCTTTGAAACTGTTTCAAATATTTTTAAGTATTGGACAATTCACAAGCTGGCAGGACTCACTGCACAGAAAGCAATGAACCAACATAGCAGATCAGGAATTAGTTTCCAGGAAGATATGCCCTAGACAGTGGAGTAAACCACATTTTTTTTTTTAAATATAGGATTGACCTTATGGCTATTAGTAGAACCCTAAAGGACTCTAATTTTAGACTGTAGAAGTCACTATGTATTTGTACAGATCCATTTCTTCTACCAGAATAATGGTGAAGTATTTGGAATTTCCTCTCCTTCCTCCAGAACCTCTGTAAGTAAGTACCAAGGCAGTGTTTAAGGACTGTCCTCATAAATGTGGCTATGACTTTTTTTTTCTTTCCCCCAAGGCCAGGCCTGTAGCAGTGCAATGCTAGAAGAAAAGGATGAAGGACCAAAGTCAGGCAGGGATCTTTCTTACTAAAATCTCTAGTGCCTGAAGGGCAGCTGCACAGGGGCAGAGCCAGGCTCTTGCCAGTGGTGGCCACAGGCACAGAGACACATGAAGTTCCCTCTGAACATCAGGAACCACTTTTTCACCATGAGAGCAACTGAGCACTAGAAGAGGGTGCCTGGAGCAGTAGTGGAGTCTCCATCATTGGAGATACTCAACAGCTACCTGGGGATTGGACAAGGTAACACCCAGCAGACCCTGCCAGCCTCAGCCCTTCTGCAATCTGTGCCTCTTCAGCCAGAGAAAGTCAAGACAACCCACCCCTGGGACTTAAACCCCCAGAGCCCTGGAGAACCACATCCCTTACCATCACATGCCAAAAACCATCTTTGGATTCCACTTTTTTTATTAAAATATCTCATGTATATTGCTCACATTAAAATACAGCAGTTTAATTTTAAATATAGCCACAAGTAGACACTCAAAAAACCCAAACCCACATCACTGTAATAAATAAGTAAGTCAGATTTGTTTATCAAAGTTTCAGATCATCAGGGTTAGACAATAATCATTTCAGACACACTAGAAGTCCTAAGACACAGTACTACCCACAACGCTATTTTCTTGGAACATCACGTGCAGCCTATCTACAGTACATGGCCTAGAACACAGAGGTGCTGGGTCCATGAGGGTTGTCCTTACAAACCACAGCATGGTAAGATCCTGCTTTGTGGTAGCTTTTGGATAATGTCCTATACTAGAGCAGCATGGCAAGGCATTTCTGGGAAGAGTAATTTAGATAGATTTAATCTTTTGACACACAAGGGTGGGTTGTGTTTGTGTTTTTTTTATATCCAGTTCCCAGCATGAGCAGATGCTTAGCCTTATCCTGCAAGTGTGCAAAGCTTGAGTTGGTAATGAATTTGGTTTTGATTAGGCACTGACAGCTATGCTCTAATGAAACACTGATTTTATGAAACATTACACTTGCCTTCTGTTTTAGAAGTTATTTGGACTTTCACACCTAGACAGTTAGAATATAGCACAGAGGGACATAATGCCTGAGGCTTGTCTTGCTTTACACAGAGACAAAAAAATTAGAGCAAATTGCCAGCATTTGGAATTTGGAAAAAAGGAAACAGGAAGGGATTTAGCACAGGCAAGAAATTAGACAACAGTTGCTCCATTTCCCCTCACCTCAAAACAAGTGAGAAAAAAACCCCCAAACCTATAAACTAAATTTGCACTGTAGGATTGTGGATATTTCAGATTGGATCTATAGGCTTTATACTTCCAGGATGTGTGGAAAGAAAAGGACAGCGAAAAGAAATCTTCATTTCTGGTTAACATAATTAAATTCAACAAAACCACATCAATTCCCATCGTAGAGGCACAGTTCATAGAAAGCTGCATCTAAAACTTTAATGGAAACAAGTAAAAATACTAGTCCAAAAATAAATAAAATTTAATTTACCGGTAAGTTATTTTGCTGGTGCAGTGCAAGGTAAGTAAGGTCAGAGAAGTGCACTATTACGTTTTTAGTATAAATACTTTCTACATAAGTCAGAAGAGCTACAAAATTAGTCTCCAAAAATAACTGTGCAACACGTTTAAGACTGAGAGCATGCTTATTAAATCCCAGTGTCTAAGCTACCTGCTTAAATATGGTTTACCATTCTTTTGTCTCAGCTGCCTGAGGGAATTCTGAAGCTTGGTCAGAACCAAATTCATTCGCATCTCTCACTTCCTGTAAACAAGTTATCTATGTTATTGATCCCAGTATTCAGTAGCAGTTGATGCCACAATGAGTCCTGATGTAATTTTAGTATTGTATTAAAAGCCACAATTAGAAGACCAGTCCCTAAATTAGCAACTAGATTTGAATTATTCGTGTCTGGCATTGCATAAACATTTCTTTCAGTTCTTTTTGTTTCATTTCATTTATCACTTCTGGTTCTGCAGGGCTCTTCTGGACCTTTGCCACAGCAAAATTAATCCCTTGAGTCAATCCTGCTTGTGTGATGTTAGCAACCTGGACCATGGAACTGCGAATTTTAGCAAAAGGAGAGACAGCTCTGCTGCTGCTACTGTCAGCTGGAGAAGGCGTCATGTGGAGTTCCGCCTCAAAGTTACCTGATACAGATCCTGGGCTTTTATGAGATTTAGTGAAGTCAGTACCACCAACAGCTAAGAGCTGAGAATTTGGCTCAGACGACTGTACATCCAACTTAGATGGCCTGGAAGGAATGTCTCCCATAGCTTCCGCCTTGGTTTCTGCCTTCTTAGATGTACTATTGCTGGTTTGATTTATTACATGATGGGGCTCCTGAGAACCAGCCTCAGCTTCCAAAATACCTGACATCTTGTTTTGAGCATCATGCACAAACCTCTGGCAGTACACATCAATGGGTTTAGCAAATTCCATCTCCGCATTGTCAGCAGAAGGCATGTGTACACCTGTACAGTCAGACCAGCTAGCCTGAGAGACACAGATCTCGGACGGAACATGGATGCTAATGTTCATGTCAGTGCTGCTTACAGACTGGGACCTACTGCCCAGCCGTGGGGCTGAGGCAATGATACCACAGCTAGGCAGCACGTAGTCTGCCTGCCCTATGTTATCTAGGGATTCAGTTAGCTGATTGTCCTCATCAGATTTAGAATTGGTAAGGAAGTCATCTGAGTGGAATGAATCATTATCCGATACTTCTGTATCGGATTCGGTATGGACTTTAGTATCTACCACTGGATTCTCTAAAGTTTCAAGGCTACTATCTGATTTCCAAAGATTCACTTTCAAATTTGGTTTTAAAAAATTGACTTTCACTTCAGGTTTGGTAAAGCTGCCCAATTTCCGAAGATTACTGATGTTTACATTGGATTTGGTTTGTTTCACTTTTTGATTGAGAGATGAGAACTTGCTCAGTAAATAATTCTTGCCTTGGGCCAGGGACCCTCTGTTCTGAGACCGAATGCCAATGATGTCTTCATGAGGTTTACTGCTTTTCCTGGAAGGAAAACAAAAAAAAAAAATATCGCTAATGTGCAATCAAGGCAGTCTCATTTATAAACATCAAATATTTACCATCTTCCAGCCTATTTCCATAATATCGGTGGACATTTTAGTAAATATGCTATCCTTTCCTTACATAATTATACCCATATAAGCTAATCAAATTCAAAACAACAAAACCAAAGGAGGGATGCTACAGAATGGTAGCCTAACAGGGGGAAAAGCAAGCTTCAGCAGGCATTTTAAGTTTTAATTTAAAACTGGATTTGAATTTTCTATATTTGTAAGTCTGACTTTGTGTATGCTGCACTCAGTAGCCAGATTTAGCAAATATTCAGTGTTCAGTACCTGTAAAAAAAAAAAAAGCACAAGATTTTCTTGCTACACTTTCTACTCAGCTGGGAAAAAAAGCCAAAATAGTAGCTCAGTTATCAAATGCAGAAGAAACTTATTGAAGCATGTGCCCTAATAGTTTCACTTGGGAATTTATGGTTGTGCTATGTAACGCATTGTTTAGTAGTTCATACAGTCTGAATTGGAAGGGTCCCCAAATAATGCAACAGATTACACTTGAACAAGTAAAATATGCTAGACTTCAGGTAGCCATCCATTCTTATTTCTGCTTCACTATCCTTTGTAAATAATTTCCTCACTGTTAACACCTCCACAATATTTGTAGATAAAGTTTATTTCTGTTTAATTGTAGACAATTGACTTAGAGAAAACTATCTAAAAAACTCTAGTAAGTTCATCATCAACTATGCTTTCATGGGTGCTTTTCTCTTAATGGGCTTGCAAAACAAAAACTAATGTGCCATTCTGACTAACACTTAGGAGTTAATTCACGCAAAAACTGTAATGTTATCTGGATTTGTTTAACACTCAGCTGCAGTGGAATCCAAGCCAGGTTTACACTTCACAGGTTGTCTTCCCACTACAGAAGCGGACATTAAGTTCAGATAGGAAAAATTAAATTTTACAAACTAATTATGAACTTCTGATTTGCAGTATGTTATTTACATTTGGTAGTGTATATTGTCTATAAGCACATAAGTATAAAAAAGTATTCTTGCTTATACTTTTCGAGAAGCGCCTGGAGACATTATTGGAAACAGCATACTGACAAATTAACTCCTAGCACAGTATCTAGCTATAGATGTTTCTTTTAGGTATCGTATATGTGACTGTTACCATGTATTGTTAGCCACTGAGACGAGAGCAGAAGTGGGACACAGAAGGTTCACATCATTGAAGTACTCACCTCTCCAGCTTTTTCTCAATAATGGGCACATCTAATCCCATTGCTTGCTTTGTGATTCTCAGCATTTCTGCAATGCACTGAAGAGTGTCTGGAATCCAATTAGCAGCCTGTCAGACCCTTTAAAAAAAACCCTTAAAATCCCACATTCCAAAATCTAAAATTAGACTTATTTTTATAATGTAATTTAGTTTGGTTTTCTTGGTTGTTGTTTGTTTGTTGTTTTCTCTTTCACCCTACAGAATAGTTGCACCTTACAAGTTGCAGTTCTGATTTAAAGCTTACAAATTAAGCTTAAAGAATAGACTCTCCTTAAGACCCAAATACTGTATGTAAGTGAATCACTGCCATGATTCATCATTTGTAGAAGGAAGAGAAGCAATTATATTTATTCTAATCCCTGTTGACAAAACTCAGTGCTTCACATAACTATTGATATTTTTCCCTTATTAGTGTTCATTTAATTTAGTTAAACAACAAGCAAGAACATTTCTAGAAATTGATTTCATCAAATACATCAATTTCTTCCACTCTTTAGGAGCTAATTTTAAGTTCATTTTATCAGTTTTTGGAACAGTAAAGATCTGGACATGGAAATGGCTCAATTTTAGAGAGACATGTTGCTTTAAAGCCATATCTGAAACTTATTTTAATTTTTATTAAAACAGTAACATTCTACTGTTCACAGAAGAAGCCACATACTGATTTTTTTTGTTGGTTCCCCACCCTGCATAACTGAATTATATTAAAATTCATCCTTCTTCAGAAGTTACTCTAAGAGCAATAGAAAAAGTGTTTCCTAGAGAAACACTGGTACACTGAATACACTTTGACATATAACATTTTTACATATGAAACAAACCTTTTCCATCTTCTTCTGGATTGCGTACCACAGCTCTAAGAGTGTGAAAATACCCACTCATTTCTTTATATTTGTAATGCAGCCTCATGCAAGAGAACTTGGGTTTGCCAAAGAGAGTAGGCTCAGGCCCTGAGAAATAAACCAGATTAGAAATCTTTACCAAGCACTGAAAGAGATATTGTAAAGACTATACCTAAACATACGTAAGAGTTGACACTCTTTTCCGGCATAAAAAGCTTCATGTTTTCTTTAGAGTAGGATAGACATTTTAAGTGAAAGATCTTCACAATAATTAAACAATTAATTATTTACAAAAAGTAATTAGACTCTCTGTGTATGTCTATTATGATCCAGCCTGATTGTTTATTACAGATTATGCTTTTGAATAGAAGAAAAGCAAAAATTCTACACCTATTACATCCTGTGTTTTAGCATATGCTCCTGCAAGGATTAAAGGGAAAGCTAATATACTTCTACCAAGCAGAAGCAATGTAAGTTTGCAAGATTTAGACCAAGTACTTCAACTTTTCAATGCACTGCATCATTTCTATATCATTAATCAGTGGGTTTTTTTGTATTTATAAGGTATTTGGTCTAGATGTTTCAACTATATTCTGTACATCAGGATATATTACAGATCTCCACAATACAGAAGTGAGAGACCTTCCCACTGAACTCTTAGACATTGCACATAGATAGTGAAAGTTACAGTAAGGAGATGATGAAGTCACTATGCATTGTGTAATGGAGGATTAAACTCCATTACAGGAGGCATATGCCTCCAAAGAGGAGGCATACACGGGGGGCCACAAAAATTTCCCTCCCTTCTCTCCAACTGGAACACATTTTTCATCTTTGAAGTCAAAGATAACACATCATTAACACTTTCAGCTGAAAGTGCTGGATTTAGCCTGCAGATGTCAGCATAACAAGGTGATTTCATAGCATGTTTCTTATCAGACCTTGAAAAATAAAGAGTTTTTCTTAAAAAGAAAAAAAAGCTATAAAACACATCTGAAGTACAATTCAGAACCGGCTGCTATATTTGGATCAAAGAAAGAGTGCACTGAATGCACAAACCTGTGATTCATTATAGAATTTGATCACATTGTTACTGCCAATTGAGAAATAATTAAATTTGCTTTGATGAATCCATGTTTTTTTAAGAGTTTGAAAGAGGGAGAATTTTAGAAGCCTACCAGTGATCAATGTTTCTATTTCAAGCAGTAGCAAAAGACAGAACTGTGAGAGAACACAGTCTCAACTCTGGCATCCGTTGTCAGCAAGAAAGCACATTTCTAGCTATGGTAGGCTACACAGGATATATGCACTATATTGAGGCTTGCTGTTTCAATGTATTTGTAGGATGCTTGATAAGTGCTCAGGCTATTACTAAGAGCATTCAAGAAGAATATAAGGTAACTGCATTCTTACCTATTTCTATTTTTTCCAGAGCTTCAAGACTTAACCTTTGGTACTGATTCACCTTATCGATTTCATCATCATAACTAGAAAAAGAAGAACCAGAATTTAATGCTTCATACTAATCTAAAGCAAGGAAATAAACTACACATAGTAAGAGAAAGTGGTAACTTACTAGGCCATGTAGTAGGCAGAATTAGAAAGTAACAGCAGAACGTCCACATCCTTATGAGTGGCATCAGTGAGACTAAGGAAGGGGAAGAATGAATACAGGGGAGAAGGTTTTACTTGCACAGGTATAACCCATCCTCAGTGTATTTTAGGGACATGCTTTTACAATTGAAGGCACATTACTACAAGAGGTTTCAGTTACAGTGTGTTCTCTTGTGTGATGCCTGCACCTCTTCACAGCCACTGCAAAACCAAGTTAGGTGAGACACTTCACAAGCCAAATTGTGATGTGTCATTAGACTCACCATACAGTAAGTGGATCCATGTAAGCAGCAATCTCTCTCAAACCTGGAGTTACCTCACAGCTCAAAAAGATCAGCAGCAGGTCCAAAAATAAACAGAAAACCCACTAGCTATTAAAAATGCTAACAGAGAAATGGAAAAGTATCTCAGACTCAGCTGATGCAGTGAGTCTGTGCTTGAATAGCTATCATAACACCCTGCTTTACTATTTTTAGATGCTTTAGAATTTTAACCTGCAGAAGATCTTTTCTTTTACAAGTTAGTGAACTCCGAACTTGGTAAGGAGACTTAGCAGTGAAGTTAGAGGTTATGGGTCACTAGTTTTCATGAAGAGAAATCTAGGCTTTCCTACTACTGACTCATTACACAAGAATTTAATCTGATCAGATAGGGCTTTGAAGTCAAGTTACACTTTCCCTATAAAGCAATAAGGAACAACAGCTCTTCAGACAACCCCTTCTAGAACTAATGGTGGTTAGGAGTTCTCTTCACGGTGCCTACCACGTTTTGGCAATATTAACTGAATGCATGCATTTCCAGGTGATGTCTCAAATGTAATCCCAGCATGCACCATTCTTATGCCACTTCAGGAAAAGCACATCTTTAGAGGACCTTTTCTTTTACAAACAATTTTACAAACAAGTATTCAATCCTTCCAAGGACTCCTGTCATTCTATAAAGCTGTCCACTTGTATTCTGTTAACACATCAGCTATCAAAATAACTTTGATAATGAATCAAATTAACACAGGTATCATACTAGCAGCTGATCAATTATGATTTTATTCAACAAACCTTGGATCACAGTCAATAAGTGCCCATCCTCCATGGAATTTTTCATCATCTGGTAAGAGCAGTTTCATGTAGCTCTGCAACAGCTGGCTGATCAATTCCTGATGGCTTCTCAGGTTCTCCTTGTGCAGGGCTTCATGCTCTTTCTCTTTTGTAAATATGGAGTAAAGATCCTCTGTTACAGGGATACCCTGCATCAAATCTAAATAAAATACACAAAATACCAAACAAGGAACCAAAAGTTAAAAGCAATACACAGCAACAGTCTGTTGATTATTTTGTAAATTCCTTCCAAAAGTTTCAGATTTGAAGATAAATCTGGAAAAATGGTTATTCTTTCAAAATAGAATGTTGCCTGAAACTGAAAACTCAGTAGGTATAACACTATTTTCTCTCAGTGGAAAAACAAGTTAACTCACCATTTTAAGAAACACTTGCTACACAGATTTAACTTTGTCTAATAGAAAGATGTTAGAAGACAGTTAATGCTAAAACAAAGTTAGGAGCAAATTCCACAGTGCATTACACTTGATGTAATCCCTCAGAATTGAATGGTGTTTAATCTACAGATGGAGAATGGCTGTTCCATATGGTGTCTGCTACATAGACATGAACATTATACACACTCAAGGTGCTTTTAAGTTTCAGAAAAAAAAAAGTCAGTCAAAAATATAAAGCCAAGATGATTTCAGTAAACTTTTCTAAATACCAGCATTGAGCTTAGTTGAAATTGTATTCTTACCTATGACTGCTTGCCTATAAGCATCCCTGAAACGATTCAAGTAGTATCTGTTTGCAGAATTAACTCCATCTTTCATTACCCCTGCCAGCTTTCTTTCACCAGTCCTTGTGAAGTCGCCCTGTTATACAGAACATGCAAATCATGCACATATGCAACTTTGAAGTAGCAGTCTCAGCTCAAAAGCTTTGGCGTTCTGAACCTCAGAACTGAACAGATGACAACTCAGAAATTATGTTCAAGTAACTATTTCATACAGAAGCTGAAAACATGGATTTTCAAATCATCTATTTCTCATGGCATTGATTGACTCGGCAGAGAATCTTACACTTTTGACAGACCTATGATTCTATATAAAGACCTAATGGAGAACAGTAATCTGAACATACACACCAGCTAACATTAAAGCAGAACTTTCAAGACATCAGACACTGGGATGCTTGAATACCTCAAAAAAACCCCCACACCCCTATTTTTTAGCTTTAATGTAAAAGGAACACTACTGGAACAATGGAGAAGACTGGAGCTTACTGAAAAATGGTTTTAATCTTCTCTGCTTCTGCTACCAAAACAAGCCAAGCATAACATACTGAAGGGAACTAGTACATATCCTCACAAGGTCAGAAACAAAAGAGTTTCTAGGCCATGAAAGGCTTAGAATTTGAATAAAAAGAAGTTTTGGTAGCTGTGCTTCATTAGAGGATTCTATTTGCAGAAACGCTCTGAACATTGGCACAGAACAGTTCTAAAAGCCATACTATGAAACTATGATGAAGAACATTTCAAGTGTGTTTCACTTCCAAATTAAAAGAAATAATATCACAATTAAACTGCAAATAAATTTAATCCATGAACCTCAATAATGAGTAATCTTCAAGCAGAATGGCTAAAAATTTAGATCTATAATTGAGTTCTGTGCTTCAGATTTAAAGTTAAATATTCACAATCAAGACAAGTGTGTCAGGCTGTTGTTTATTATTTAAAAAAAATTAATGTAAGAGACTAATCAAAGTTCCACCAGTGACTATACACACAGAAAGTAGCTCAAATTCTATGACTTTGCAAAGCAGCAGGAGTGAACAGTAAGGAGTTTCATGCCTGGTTTCTGATCTTGGTAGAGATACTGCATTACAACCAGTTAAGAAAAGTCTTTAGAAAATATAGCTAATTAATATCTCCCTACTGCCTAAATATCCTGATCTTCAGTCGTTCAGAGTATTTTTTTTGAAGTACTGTAACTGCTTAAAAGAACTATAACCATGCTCAAATTTAAATAGAAGTAATGCTTAAAATAGATCAGCTATGCTTTGTATCTAGAAATTAAACTAACAGAACGAAGTTAAACTACAGCCAGCACTGCCACAGGACACCTGGACACTCAAGTCTTCTCCAAGTCACACCAAGTGTGATGCAAAATACTTTTCTATTGAAAGGCCTCATATCTCTGCAAGACAAAAACACGCACAACATTTGGCTCACTTTGCTACATACACAAAAGTTCTCCATTGGACACAAAGCCTGTAACATAACATACTTCTTGTCATCAGAACAGATCACACTCTTTACCCTTTACCTTTAAGGCTGCTGTGCCAGCATACTGCCGGCTTATGGCATCTCCATTGTTTGCCCATATTATCTGGTAGATTCTATTGCATTTTACCGGCAAAGGCTGTTCTGGTGGCATCACACCCAGTTTTTTGAGCTGCAATTTGACATATGCATTAATATAAGGTTCAAAATAAAAATCATTCTCAATATCAGAGCTCAATAAATAAAATGGGAACACTTGCCAAGCATTTAATTGTTACATTTTATATGATCTGAAAAAGGAACCCATTCTGCTAATTTGTGAGATTAAATTAGAACCACTAATTTGTTGTTAAACATTGTATCACTGGACGCAACAGTAATATATTAATTACAGATGTAGGAGTCAATCTTCAAAAAAATTAGCTGAAGGAAAACAAGATACTCTATTACCCAAGATACAGCAACTGTTTCTATTTTCCGTAAGGAACTATCAAAAGAACAGACATCACAGACCTTTAACATGGATAAACAAGTTAATGCCTTCTATTGCAAAGGCATTCATGGCCTCAGAGGTCTGAAAATAAAGAAATGGAATCTTTTTCCAGTTACAAGACAAAGCACACCAGATTCTTAATCTCTTGCTTCTAGACACTAAAGCAAATGTAGTGGCTCCATCTTTGAATTTACTCCTCCCCAGAATAAAGCCTTAAAACATCTTCACATAGAATCATAGAATGTTTTGGGTTGGAAGGGACCCCTAGAGATCATCTAGTCCAACCCCCCTGTAGTGAGCAAGGACACCGCTAACTAGATCAGGCTGCCCAGAGCCCTGTCCAACCTAGTCTTGAATGTTTCTAGGGATGGGGCCTCCACTACCTCTCTGGGCAACCCGTTCCAGTGTTTCACTACCCTCATTGTAAAGAATTTCTTCCTTATATCCAGTCTAAACCTACCCTGCTTCTTTGTGTTTATTATTAATGCTTGTGCAAAAATGACAGTTACTGTTTAAGACTGATACTGAAAATAAGGTAACTTACTCTTCAGAACAACCAGTATAAGTTTTCCCAAGATAAGTCTCAAGTACAATACAAACTTCAGTTTGGTTTTTTTTGGTTTGGTTGTTTTGGTTTTTTTTTTTTTCTTTTTCTTTTTTTTTTTTTTCTTTTTCTCACATGCTAAATTGATAAAGCAGCTCACACATAACTGCAATGTATTCACTAAATGTTAGGCCAACTGCATTGGGTAACTTGGACTAAATGATAGGCAGACCTCAACTTACAACCAATGAAAAAAAAAAAAAAAACCCCAAACATTCAAGCACTCTGCAGGTTAGATGAAAATTGATACAGGCTTGTTCATTGACTTTGAAAGCCCTATCAAGTTTCCAGCTGAGAGAAAACAAGTCCTATGGTTCCAAGGGAGTGCAAAAGTAAGGTACATATAACTCAGTCTTCCACTTTTCGTCAGTCACCTTCCAGCGCCTCTTCACAACAACCAGTATAACTCTTGATTTTGAAAGACTGCCTTCAAACTCTCAGAGTTAACATGTATAGAAATCCTATTCTAAAATAAAGACTGTGATATTGCTAGTCCCACACTTCATCCCCAGTACTCCTTCTATGTCAGGAGTTCATAAAAGCAGATAACAGGCAGGAACTGCCAGGTACAATGGCTAGAACCATTCATTTTCATCCTAATGAAAGACCCACTTCATCCTTTACCCTTCATAGCATAGTCAAGGTTTGTTCATTTTGGACTGGGCAGTAACTGAGTCTTCAAAGATTTAGTTACAGTACTATGAAGTCTTCACAAGGAAAGTCAATTATCACTGAGCTTCTATATCAAAAAGCAAATGGGGGGCAGGGCAAAGACGACTAAAAGAAGGACTCTCAGTCTGCTTGGAAATGCCTTCTCTATATAGGGACAACTATTCCAGAGCATAGTAGTCAGCCATTTGGGATATTTACATCATGAATTAATTATTCATCTACATACAGAACAGACAACTAATCTCCCTACCTGCTGCACCACAGTATTTCACTTCAAATCAGCTAAAATAGCATCCAACTTCTATTTAGATTTGAGTCCTTTAACATCTAATTTGGGGGAGGGATTTATTGAGGAGGGTTAGTTTTAAACTTTGTATTACCACATAAATTAAAATTACTAAATCAAAACAAGAGAATCCTCTCCAATTTGTGGACAGACAGTCATTTCTTCTCACAAGGAGAACACTAGACATCACTGTTTTAGAATTATTTCAGTTGTACGTATTACATTCAGCTTCATAGCTCTCCAAGTAGTCTGCAAAGATCCTTTTCAGTAGAGGTTAGTTCAAAATTTTTCAAACACACAGATTTCCATGTGAATAACAATTAAGATCTGAGGTACTCAGTACTTGAAAAAGTACAGTAGTTGTACATGCCTGCTGTTCCATGACCACTCTTGCAATAGCAGCCTGCACAACATTGGTACGATCCAGACAGTCCATGCAGTTGACTCGAAAAATTCCTTCCTGTTTACAGATCACACCAGCTTGGTCAACCCTTTCAACAGGAAGATAAAGCAAAAACATACTGAGACACTTAAAATCCAGTGTAATTTATCAGCTTCTACAAACAGTAGAAAATTTTATGCATGGAGTAATATTTATAGTTGCACTCATCACCCCAGCCACACCCCACTCAGAATTAACTACTCTTGTTCCCACCTATCCTCCTCTTTAGTCTAGGCTAGATACCCAGCATACATCCTGTTAGGGCCATAAACTTGATATGTAATCAGATGTTGAATTCAATTCATACATATATAACACAAGCTTTCAAGAGTAAAGGCATTTATTTAATTTCAAAACCAGAGTCCACAATGACAGCAACATCTCACTCACAAAATACAAAATTGAACAACACACAGTAATTGATTGAAGACTGCAGTCATACTCACTACCAAAACACGCAAACTTTAATCAGTACAAACTAAAGGTCAAACATGCCTACTGTTTTCAATAGTAAGGTTGGCATTCTAGGGTTTGTGGGTCAAATACAAAGTGTTTAACATTAAATCTAAGAAACCCTAAAAGTGTTAAATGCAGTAAGCCTCAGGCAGAAAACAGCATCTGAGAATTTTTGCTGTTATGTGTGTATAACACCAACACTTCAACACAAAAACTGATGCACAAACTGGGCACCAAGAGAGGAATATAAAACACACCAGTTATGACAAAATCAAGGCCTCTGAATATGTACTTTTTTTTTTCCTACAAATATTTCATACTAGTCTAAAAACAGTAAAGTACCTACCAGCACCACTTCATGTCAAGGATAATATCATGAATGGCATCAGTCAGTGTTTGAACATTTTCAAACTTCATTCCTCGGCTAAAACACAGGATTTCATAGACATTAGTTTGAACTAGAGTGGTGATTTTTCTTTACTTAGTTATTTTGTATTATTTGTAATGTTAACAAAGATAGTGTTTTGGCTAAGTGGGAGAAACAGACATTCCCTCCTGCAATAAACTTTAAACAGCAGCCAATATTCAGAACTATTTTAAAGTACAGTACAATATCTAAATCCAAGGCAAGAAATTCAGATCTTTAAATTATCAAGAATTTGCATTCCTGAATGCTGCTTCCATAAGGAAGAACAAACGTGCAGCTATTCGGGCACAGGCAACATTCTGCTCTCATTTTAGGCACAGTCTCAGAAGTAACTACTATAGATTTGAAATTGAAATGGCCTTCCCTGCTTTACCAGTGATTTAACAGAAAAACACACCTACAGACACATCATCCCCTCCTCCTCCCACCCCACCAGATTGTTTTCAGTATTGTTCTCTATTTATTCATGGTCACAATGCAAAAAGAAACAGTCCTGGTCACTATAGCAGTTCTTAGGAGAAAAGCAAACTAACAAAAATGAAAGCTTGTTGAAACAAAAGAGTAAGTATCAAATAATTCAGGATGTCAACAGTCAAAGCTCAAAGGCTTTTTTGATGGGGTACTATTTTGAGGGGGTTTTCCCTCTTCCCTCCCCCTCTGAGACAATACCTATTAATGACATACTTATTCAGTCAGTAATGCTTTCCCAAGCCAGATGCAATCCCTAGCTTAAATAGGAAATGAAGATTAAAACAGTTTTTAGACCCCATATTCATACACAAATGCAATCTGCTTGAGAAATAGATGCCTGTGTGACAGATCACATGCTTGGGCATTGAAACACTGCACTAGACCATGCCTACATCATAGTGGAGTCATGAAGACAGCATTTATACTGGATTAAAATAAAATCCAGCGTATTTTATAATGGAAAAACAGCATCAGGGTCCTGAAAGAACCCATTGTACGTTTACAGAAACAAGCAAGAGAAACAGAAGAATGGCTTGTAGTGAAGAATTAAGAGCAGAATGCTAGATAGTTTGAAAAGCAGGTCAGCCACAGCTTTACATTCATACCATGTTTAAGGGAACTCTCTCACTTAAAATGCATAACAACTTCTAAGATTCACCTAATAAATAACTGCACGTTTAACAGGCAGTGCTCAGTTATTCAAATTCAAACTTTTGTAGTACTTTAGTTTACAAAATGTATTCTTCCTAGTTAAAAGCATTTCATGCAGAAGTAGAGAAAAGCTATTACTATTTCCTCCCTTCTACTCTCCTTTCATGCTAATAAAAAAAGACACAAAGTGACATTTTTAAAAGGTTTCTTACCAGTGCTCGTGGAAGTCAAATGAAACATAAGTCAGATTTGCATTGTTGTACAGAAGAACTTGTTTAAGGTAAGCATCTCCGATAATCTTCTCTCTGCCTGTTTGATCCACCAAATTAATAATAACCTGTTCAAAAGTTTAATTATTTAACGCTTGTCATCCAGTACACGACTTGCTTAGATATATACCATGGAATAACAATTAGCTTAAGAGTTAAAAGATTTGTAGGTAATCTTGCTGAATTTACAATCTTTGCTAATTGTACCCAAGATCAAATAGGCTCCAACAGTTACTCACCTACCTGAATTTTAATACCGAGAATCTGTGAATACAGGACAGAAACACAAAAGTGGGGCTTACGCATTTCTGTAAGTTATTGCTGGTTTTTAGAGGTTACTTACCAGGATACATCAAAAACTTAGTAACATCCTATTCATTTACCACCCTTCTAATTGTCAATGAGCTTCTAGAAAAATGCAACCCATATCACCAACATGAAAAACAAACTAAAAACATTAACTTTCACCCCCTGCATTTTCATAAGATGACTATCTTATCATGTAGCACTCACCTGCTTTCTGTAATTTTTCAGCTGTTCTTCAAAGTGTGCACGAAAACAGGACACTGTTTCCTTTTCACCTACAAGGCAGAGCAGCATTAGACAGAAACAGCCTGTTCTGCAACAAGTCCCGTTTGAAGAATTAAATCATGCCCAAATCTATACTCTAAAAAACCAAGATACCTTTACTTGAAGTACTTAGACACACAATGTAACACATTCTACAGAATTACTTTTAAAGGTCTTTCATCAATTTGCTCAACTTCAACATTGTTTTTCTACTACTGTGGTGTACAGGAAGCACCATTCTTAAATTTCACTTTTTGTGCAAAGCAGATTGGACAAAAATTTAACTTTTAATAAGACTGGCTAATCCTTCCACACATCCACCGCACACCCACATAAACATCTCTTCCAAAACAAGAGTGCTGATATTTGTTTTGCATCTTTTGAAAAAACAAACTGAAGTACAAGAAAGGTTTGCAAATTACAAATGGGGACATGCAAGACAGGATAATACTGGAAGTGTTACCCAGTTCTCCTAGAGAACAAAACTACTTGTAACTAAAATGCAAAAACATTATCCAGTTGATTCACAGCACCACTGATTCCTCAAAGTCTCAATTCCTACCTGTAAATCTATCAAATTAAACGCAATTCCTCAGTATTTTTTGAAACTAATCCTACTAGGGGAAGAAAAGAAAGATATCAACAAAAAAGAACTGCTCAGCTCTATAAACAGATGTCACAGCACAAGCTTGCAGTTGGAACTAATCAAGTGTTGCTTCCAATTATCAGGAGGGGGGGGAGGGGATTGGAAGGTGTTTCATTTTTATTTTCCTCACTTTATAAATTTGTTTAAGTTTCCATTTCCATGATGTGGCAACAAGTCATCCCTCTCCAGTGATCTCCAGGTTATTTGGTATAAAATCACAAGAAACCCAAATCTACATTTTCCTTAAGTTTGTAATGATAGTAACTGCTTGTCAACTTGAAATTATGTGCTTTTCCCAAGTTCCTAAGCAAGCTCGAAGGCCCATTTTACTGGGTTTACTTAAGACACAGGGAAAAACAATCCTTTAACTTCCCAAGATCACAGCCCCCCCTGAAAAAGCAGGTTGGTTTTTTTTAATTTTCAGCCCTAAAAACAGTCTTCAATGGCAGAAGACCAGACTTGCTAATGCTAGAAAAGCATGTGAATCCAACACACAAGTTGGACTTGCAGAAGTACATACTTTTGATGTAGGATGCCAGTTAACCGAATCCAGTGGGAGTATGATTATACAAGATCACAAACATACTAGCTTCCTTTAAAGAAAAGTTTCTCCTTTACAAAGCTAAACCTAGAGGAGATTTTATTGACCTTTATCTTTTAAGAAAGTGCAGGCTATGAATACCTAGTTCATAAAAGCATCCAGATTTGCCACAGTCTCATCAATATTTTTTCATGTTTTGGCTTTTGCATTATCTTTGAGTGGAAAAGGAAGAAATTTAGATCTCAAAGCCCCCCAGACAGTACTTAATTTCAGAGAAGACAAAAGCACACTACAAAACTGGTGTTATATGAAATGTCTATGTTTTCCCCATGTTGAAATAGCAGTTCTTAATACAAAAGGAACCTCAGCCTAAGTTAACCTCGTGGACAAAGATATTTGTAAGACATCAATGTCTAAGCAGGTTCTCAAAAGAGAAAGCCAAGTTTTCTCCCTTCCCAACCCAGAAAACACTGCAACCAGTATCACTAAACATAAAACGTGCTTCATTAAATACTGAAATTCAAGCCTGTTAGAATTTACAATGGATAAGTCAGAGCTCTGCATAGTTGCAATTAGAGTAGAAGTTAACTGGAGTCAAATCATTACTGTTATTCCTGGCTTTTAGAAAGTGCCACTGAAAGACTAGTGGTAAAGCAACACTCCAATTAACTTATTTCTAAGGGAACTCTGATCTTTAGGTATTCTACTCAAATACTTACTCTTGTCCAGACGGGGCCGTGGGTTATATCTATAACCAACTTGGCTCCAGAAAACAGGCACAGAGCCTCTTGTTTGTATAAATGAAAGAGTATGATTATGAACATGAATCAGTTGCTCTGTTTCAACATAATTTGCCACATTTCCATTTTTATCAACACCTCTTCGCTTATACCGCATTCCTAGGAGGAACAAGAATGATCAACTCATATTTAAGTATTAGTCAAACGTTAATAACTCTTGTTACCATTTTTCACAACAGTAACACAAGAAGAAAGTTCTAGCCAAAACCCATGATCAATGGTAAAAGTCACTCCTATCCTTGTCTACTCCCTGAAAGTTCTGCTGACTATATGGATAAAGTTTATTTACTGATATACTACAAGCAGCAGAAATTCAGTTCACAGGGCAAAGCAGTCTACTGGCACTATAAAGTCACAGATATATCTAGTCCAGCCTAACGGATATATTACTCCCTGTTCTGTCAAGTTTAGTAGAGTTTTACTTTAGTGCTCACTATTTTCCATGAACCTAAAAGGCCACTTTTACTGACAGATGCTCCACTTCTTATAGCCAGAGATCCCACAAGCAGCCCAAAGTTTGCACGTTCCACAGAACCGAAGACTTCCCCCCGCCTTGTTTTAACCCGTATAACTAATTCTGCACATTAAGAACAGATACTGCTCTTCCAACTACACAGTTTTTTGCCTAGCAGTCTCTAATCTGATCATTAAACAGAACAGGTAAGTGTTTGCATATGGAGGTTTGCACAAAATACATCACTATTTCAGAAAGAATGCAGGTGGTAGCAAGGGAGAAAGTTTATGCTCTAGACTAGCAATCACATGAGCATAATGTTATGAATAGTAAGAGGGAGTCAATAAACAATTTGCCCTCTGCAATTCTGTTTCTGTATCTGTAAAACAATTTAGTATAAATAAGGCATACTGCAAACTAGACACTACCATGAAACCCTCAAATATTTACTCTCCGTTATTCCGACAAACAGTTTTCCTGGGAACCGAATTAAATGCATTGAAGTGAGCTGCGATACAAAGGTCAGTCCCATATCAGGGTAAGCTCACTAGGTTTTCTTCTTGTTTTGACACATTAAAAACCTAACTGTAGGAAAAGAGTGGACACAGTGAAGAATATCTTAAAAAAACGTGATAGTCCAAAAAGGCTTAAAGTTGAACAGGACCTACTAAAGCATGAAGGGATTCAATCTTTATTTCTGTGCTCCTAAGAACAGGGAATAATTTTTGTTTGCCTTGCTGCTATTAGAATTAGTGAAATAAGGTGCAAGCCCAAAGCATGGTTCTTATTTCTCACCTTGGTCTTACTTAAACATCTCTTGGGATGCATGCACACACGCATGCCTTTTCAAGTCTTTATTCAGCTGCTGTCAAGCCCTCAAAGGAAGACCTCTGAAAATTTAACTCCCATCCAGGCCTACTGAAATGTATCAGGACAGAGGCCCTAATCAAGGTGTTCTTTGCCAAGATGGAACTTTTATCTCAGAACTGATACACTCAGGTACATTCAGTGCCCAAGTCGAGACTAGTGAAACTCACTTAGTAACCGCTCTAAGTAACAGCTGTGCAGTGCGGTATGCACTACAGCCTTTTCCTCCTATAAGCAGGAAAGGCTGTAGCACATACTTTGACAAGAGCTGACCATCTGCTGAACAACACAGCACTCTTCCAAGTTTTATCTTCTGCATCCCTCTCTAGTGTTCAGGAACAATCCCAATACCTTGCACTATGTTTGCCTACCAGCTCTGTGACGACTCCGTCGTGAAATAAGTGCCACCAGAAATGTTGGATGAATGTCATCTACACAAGTTGATTCCTGAGGAGGAGTTTCAGGACTGCTCTTATCATCATCAGAAGATTCACTATAGTTTACTACAAGCTCTTCAATTTGCACAAATCCTTGTATGATGGGTATAATCCAGAAGTCCACCTCAGCATTCTGAAGATTACAGAAAACATTTACATTCTTGTTGATTCTACATTACCTACAATTATTTCTGCCATTTGTCATGTTTATGTTTTAAGAAGTTTTTGCCATATCCTTTTCTTATTTATCTAAGAGGTATTAGCATTTTTCCTCCATTAGCTGTAGGGCTTTTTTTTTCTGTGGAGATGAAGCAAGCTGTATCAAGGTAAGGCAAAAAGCCCTCCTCTACTCCCAGCTATCTAGGTATAGAAAAGAGCCCTACAATATTTAATAGCTTCTTTTCCCCTTTCCCCAAAGAGAGTTTTCATACAATGTTACATCTGATGTTGAAAACACATTAAAAGCCTAAAATAGCAACTTTTCATGTCAAAGATAGTCAGTTCAGACAGAGCAGCAAATATTGGTAATTTATTATCTAGTTTCTGCTTTAAGGCAGTTTTACAATCGCTATGGGGACATACAGCATATTACTTTTGAATAGATTAAAATTTAAAAGTGTAATGTTGTTAGTCTGTTTTCAGCAAAACATACTAGCATAAACTTTATATACACTAACTTAGCACCTAAGCCAACTGGTTCAGAGCTCTGCACATTAGTGCTTTGTCACCTTAAAACCTCAGTTTCTTAAACAGCATTTAGATCCAAGTTCAATACTAATTCAAGATTATCCATGTATATCTTATAACATGAAAAATACAACTAGTTAAACTCCTGCATTATATACAACCTTTCACAGAGCATGCTCTGACTCCATAAGCATCAGAGTATATAAAATTATTGAGAGATACGGGGCATAAGGTAAGATGCCCACTGTAATCTTTAAAAGAACCTAAGACTTGACCTAAACTGGCATACAGTAGTTAGTAACTCAGTCCTTTTTCTAGGAGGTTACTTTATAATTAAGTGAGACTATATATTGAAGAAAATGAGTGGTTGTTCTATGTTTCTTTGTTTGTGCCCATTAGGTAGGAAAATGCTTTATCTACTACTCCAAAGAGCTGTTCAGAATAACTTGTTCTACACTACCATTACACTGATCAGCTACTCTGTTCAAGGCGAAAAATCAGTATTCCCCATTTAGGAAGACAAAAATCTTGTCTCAAGAAAATTTTGGAACTTAAGAGTTTCTTTCTTTTCTGGCTCCTCCTTCTTATCAAATAATCAGCTCTGTCCAGGGATAATCTATTTCACAGATAAATACATTACCTTCAGAAATCAGCACAAACAAATCACATACGATGTTATTCTGCATTGCTTTATTGTAATAAAATTTTAAATTCCATTGATGTGCATTCATTAGCAATGATCACAGGCTAACTAGAAGGCTGCTGGGAAGGTTGGCTGGGAGAAGAGGGTAACACCAGCTGCTCAGCTTCAGAGGGCACAGCCCTGTTCTGACCTATCTGCCAAGCAGGTTTAAGTAAACTTCTGTGAGGCCTTAAGTAAACATTTCAAGTAAAGAATGGTTCTCATAATACATGTTATTGTTAGAAACAAGGCTCACATCAATGCTGATGAGATCTTCAATCATGTGCTTGTTCCAAAAGAATCTGTCGTCAACCTGTTTCAAACAAAAAGGGCAGGTTTTGCAGTATTTTAAGTAAGGCTTGATAAAGACATCAGTGTTATTCACTACTACTGTACATGCAAGTCTAGTGTTCACTACTTTTGAATAAAACAGCTCAGTTCAAGACATGTTGGTGGAGACTTTTGTTTCATTTTCTTGCACTGAAGCTGGTTACAGGGCAAGATCTTTAGTTGTTATAGATTATACCAGAAGAGAATGTGACCAGTCAAGTTTGGACCACATACATTATTGAACAGCACATCTCCCAAAAATAATAAAAAAAGAGAAACCACAACAACAACAAAAAAACCCAACCACACTGACACACTTACTTTTTGCCACAGTGGTAAGTTAGTTTTCTCACACACACTCTGCCTCTGCACAGAATTTGTTAGGTCATAGGTCAGGCTGTAGTAAAAGGAGTCTGAATCCATGAACATTTTGAACAACTCCTCCAATAATCTCTTCTCCAGCTTCTCTTTTTCTTTGCTTTCTTTAATCTGAAAAAAAAAAGTAATGGATTTCTGATGTCTTTCTCTGATTGAAAAAGACTCCAGTCATATTTGTTAAGTGCCATTTCTAACCTTGTAGGACAAACCTTTTCCCACTGAGGAGCAGGATCTTAAAATTCCGAGTAGACATCAACACAAGGGCCAGCATCTTCAGAAATATCATGCTATGACTTTTAGCAGTAAGGGCATTCAGAGCAGTCAGACCCTGAAACACACTACTTGAATGCTCCAGAAGTTTCAGTCTTGAGAGTTTCTGTGAAATACTGCATCTACCTGTTCTAATTTTAGTATTGTTTGGACTTTCAAGTCCAAGCCATTATTGTGTAAAAAGCATTTTGATAAGATTGTATAGTGTTCTCTGAGGAATTGTGCACCAAATTTGTCTCCAATTCTGTATGGCAAGAGATGCTTATGCAGAGCAATTTGTAGAAGTTTACAACCCCACTAGAAGCAAATCCTGGTAAGAAGGCACTCTTTTCGTAATTCTGCAAAATTATCTAATTACAAAATGAAAAGTCACAGAAAAGCAACAGTTAAATAATCAAAAAGCTTCAAGACAGTAGTTACACATTCTGCAGTTTTCCGATAGTTCTCTTTTTAAGTCTTAGTAGTCCTTTTGATCACCCACCACAACCTTTGAATTATCAACTAAACAGTTTGGAAAAAACCCAAGAAAACAGTAGAAAGCTTTACCTTCTTTTTATTTGGAGCAGACACATTTGATTTAATTTGAGTAAGAGTCTTCAGCAGAAATTTTGTGTCATCTGGGGACTGTGTAATCTTCTCTGGCTTGTTTATCCCAAAATGGTGCTTCTTACAAAGCTAAATAATTATACTGAATTAAAGCCAATACTTAAATCCTCTTAACAAGTTCAAGAAGAAGTAACAATAAAATTGTTATTGAACTCTACAAAAGCAAGACTGCAATGCCCACAAGCCTAAGGCAGACACTCAAAAACCTGAATGTTCCCCCTCTATTTCAATCTACAGCATATTTCTTCCTCTTTTATAAAAGGCATTTTCTCTTGTGATTGTGAGAATGTCTGCCGCTATTTGGCATGACTAGAGTATCCAGACCCACCTCAACTTCCCACCCAAATTACAGTGTAAATTAGTATTACTCACTTGTATTGTTTTTCCTTTATCCATTCTCTTAGGGAAAAAATTCTGCAACATTTAAAGTAAGTGTTTCCCTTGAAGCAAATTTATAGAATTAAGATTCCAAAATATGATGGAAACAAGAGCATCCCTTAAAAAAAAAAATAAACTCTGTCCCGATTCAGAGGGCAAAGATATGACAGCTTCTTCCTCAAAACCCACACATCTGAAGTCCTATCTTAAGAAATATTGGGGGTTAACCTCAGGAGTAAGCAAGCTGAAGTACTTGGGAGAGGGCACTGCAAATCTCAGTTCTTGTACAGGTTTCTAGGCACAGAAGCACCCAGAGGATGTGCTATATTCATGCCTATACGACTAAGAACAGGAAGGTATTACATCTAGATTTCAAGTCATATTCTTGTATCTTAGACCCTGGAAGGTTCTAACGCCCAGACTGAAGCCATGCTTCAGCACTCCTTCATGCTC